ATTATGCGGATTTCCCCAGGAAAGGAATGTATTAAGTGACTCTATTACATGTCAAGGCTACTTAATTACTGATAATTAACAGCATAGATTTGGAATAATATAGGCTTGGTTATTATACCAGTCCAGTGATATGTTATCAGTGTATAAGTGAAATCTCTCTCCATAGAAAACTATTAGAGTTGGACTTTTTTTTTTTATCCCTATCTTTCTCTTTTTAATTATCCTAAAAGTTTGTTAACTTATGGCGGCAAGCTACTGAGAGTATCTCACCCACACAGCAAAGCCTGGCAAGCTACCTGTGACATATTTGATATGCCAAACACAGTAACAAGTCTCACGAGCAAATCAATGAACAATGGGAGGACAGTGTCAGTGACAGTGACTCAAAAAAATGAATTTTGTGTGTGGGACACAATTTGTAATTCTTTGTAGATATTTAAGGAGGCAGTTAGGGAACATAAAATAGGGCTGAAGAGATGGTACAAGTAGGTAAGAAACTCGCCTTACATGTGTCCAACTTGGGTCCAATCCAGCCTCCACATCTGTTCTCCCTGAAAACAGAGCCAGGACTAAACTCAGAGCATAACTAGGTGTGGCTCCAGACAAAAACAAAAAAGGAAACATAAAGCAACCCACACTGATTCATTAAAGAGCAAACAAATTTGATATTTGTGTGAATTTTAAAGGAAATTATGTCTTTAAATAAAGTAGAAACAGTGGCATTAAGTATTTATCAACTTGGTGAATTCTTAGTTAAGCTTTGTTTGAATGAGAAGCTTATTCTTCCATAGAATAAGGCCACTTAATTTTCAGCACTTGAGTAAACAACCATTTAATTAAGCTACTTGGGTTGATTGCCCTCCAGAGAAAGCTTTACTGAGTTTGCACTGAGATCCAATCTGAAGAAATTATATCTGAGACCTTACTTTTGACCTAGAGTACAGGCCAAAGGTTGCTGAAGTACTTGGATTAATATATTCTTTTCTTTCCAGTTTTTTGTCTGCTCTAAAAATTTGCTTCATGGTTTCTGAAAAAGAGTGCATATTTTATTAAGAAAATATGATTCCAAAGGTATGGTATGCCCTTACAAAGATAATTACACAGGTAATTGACAGTGATTTGTTGAGGTTATAACTATTTCTGAATTTTGATGGTTCATGCCCAAAGTTGTGTTCAACAAATCAGTATAATAGTAATACCTGGTTAGATATTCTGCTAGACTTTCAAGTTTTGCTTTTGAAAAAAATGGCAAGAAAGCATGAAAAATGGCAGTGGAATGCTGATTCTCATTTTTAAAGCATTTGATGTGTAGTAAATTGCTCACCTTTTAAAATAAGCACCCAGTAAAACATATTTTTAATTTTGTATTTTCAAAAGAAATAGGAAACATCTCCCTCTCCATTACTATAAAAGCATTGCTAAACTTCATTATAATTATAATGGATATAATTTTTCCAACTTTGTCCGTTGTTTAATCACTTTATCTGCTGTATTCAGTTGAACTTTCTATTTGACCATTTTACAAGCAGGCTTGAAACTTTTACTTTCTGAATCTAAATCTTTTCTTGTATTTATGGATAAGTAGAATTAGAGATTCTAACTGAGCTCTGCCAAAATTCTAGTTATGCTGTCACTGCTGTTTGTACATTCAATAGTCTAAATAAGTCATCTGTTTGTTTGACTTGCTTCTTTTCCTGGTGAGTTTCTAATGAATAATCATCATATTGCTCTGTTTGATGGAAACCAGTTTATTGTAAGAAAAAGTTTGACTGACACATAGCATGATAATTTCTATTCTGGGACACAAATTCTTAGAGCATAGTGCAGTGGGGACTGGAAATGCAACACAGCCATTTGGTTGCTGGCTTTATACCTAACTGACCTGGGTTTGATCCAAGGTAGCACTGTAGCACCGTCCTCCCATTGTTCATCGATTTGCTTGAGCGGGCACCAGTAACATCTTCATTGTGAGACTTGTTACTGTCTTTGGCATATCGAATATGCCACGTGGAGCTTGCCAGCCTCTGCCATAGAGGTGGAATATTCTCAGTAGCTTGCCGGGCTCGCCGAGAGAACAGAGGAATCAAACCCAGGTTGCCTGCGTACAAGGCAAACGACCTACGCTCTGTGCTATCGGGACAGAGGATTGATCTCCATATAATTCCATGAACCTAGAGATGACCCTTAAGCATGCAGAGCTAAGAATAAGTCCTGGGTGTCCCCATACACAACATGCAACAACAAAAAGTAGCATCGAATTTTGCTTCTAAAAGAATTCAACTCTGGTATTTGAGAAGATATTTCAGAAGATAAGGTATTTAAGAAGATAAAGGAGAGCTGAGGAGATAGTAAGGTGGGTAGGTGCTTGTTTTGCGTGTGGCTGACCCAGTGTCTCATATGGACCCCTGATCCTGACAGGAGTGATTCTGGAGTACAGAGCCAAGAGTAATTCCTGAGCACTTCTGGGTATAGTTCCAAAACAAAACAAAGGGGAAAAAAGAATAAAGGAGGTCAGAAAACCTATCAGTGTAGCTCTTTTTTTTTTCATGACAAAACAAGGGCTCTAAGTGTTTGAAACTTGTCTATTTGCCTTCCCTGTGAGTAACCATGTCAGGATAATAACAGAAACGGTGAACACTTCCAGAACTCCACTTTATGTAATGGTAGACAATACCATCCAATTTTGTTATACTACTTTCCACGACTCCTCCTTTTTTTCTTGCTCTTTTGTGATGACCTGGGTTTGTGGACCTCCCTGACTATATGTGTTACACCCACCTTTTAGTGGTGGTGTTCACCAGGGCTTGTGTATCAGGTTGCAGTGCTCACACATGTCACTGGGCTGAGATGCTCACCGAGGTCTACATTCCTTTGATTGCAAAGCTCAAACTTGCACCTGTGCTTGAAACGTGCCGTTGTACTTGAGTTGAGACATACAGGTTATGGTGCTGAGCTGCTCACACGTGCTCACCAGGGTATACTTCCTCACTATCATGCTCACACACATTTTTCTTAGTTCTGCTGCCTGCAGGGTCACACACCTTTTTGTGGTGCTGATGCAAACCCAACTGTGGTATAGCCGTACACTGCTGGGGCATCAGTGACACAACTAATAGATGTGGCAGGATCATGCTCCACACATGTGGAATGCCAGGGGTTTGCTTGGAAGACTAAGTCTCGGCAGTGTTCCTCAGGGCCCCAATGATTTTAACACCATGTCTGCCAGATGGTAATGAATATATCCATTCTTTACATTCTAGAGAAGTAATAACTAAACAATTCATCATAGCAACAGTCTTTAGGAAATCATGAGTTTTCAACCAAAGCATAAAGTTTTCACATATGCAATGATTGACCTTCCAAGACAACTCTTGTTAACATTTCCGAATTCAGTAACTGATTCTCCTAGACATTAGCCATCTTGGCTAATGTCACACAGCCACGTAAAGGATGAAGCCTGAACGAAAACATATCTTTGCATTCCAATCATGGTATGCTGATATTTTGCACTTCAGCCAGCATTGTTGGAGTGTAAAAGTGTCTGACTTAATTTTGTTAGTTTGGGGGTGGAGGGATAGGGAGATATGGGAGACCTGGAGCCCTCATTTGTGCTTTTCAGCCACTTGTGTCAGCAGTTGAATGCACTGAGGACGTGGAACTGCTAGGACCATTTGGTCACAGGTAGGGTCAACTAAGCAGGACCTCCCGTAATGATGGGAATTGAACCTGGGTTTGTACTCTCTCCTGACCCAGTTATCTAATTTTTTTTCAAAGTAGTGAACTAGAAAACAGACAATATTAGCTTTGACTTCAAGGCCTATTTAGTTTATTTTGTTTACTAAACATATTTGATTTAGGGGCTGTTGTTTCATTTTCTCTCCTTCCCCTTGTCCATCTTTCTCCCTTTATCTTCCCTTCCCAGCGCCCACTCCATTTTTTGCCTCTCTCTCCTTTTCAGACAGGAAGCACCACTATTTGGTAAAAGCTCATATCTGCCCTTGGAGAGCTTCACGCATTCAGATTTCCAGATATAAGGCTCTTACACTAGAGTTTTTAACTCCAGTTTTAGAGTTCAAGAACAGGAAGTTCCTCAAGTGTGTCTAGAAAAAAAAAAAAGATTCCACAAGCACTTTCCCCTGGGAGGTTTTGTTTACCCTGCCAACATTTTTAAAATATTGCTTGCTTTTAGTCAGAATCCATTTCCCACTCTCTTACCCAGCCCTATCAATATATAGAACAACTGCTTAGAAAAGTATTAGCTTCCACGAAGAAAGTTTTGAACTACTTCCTTTGCATCTTGTCTTTAAATTTTACCCTCACGTGATCCTGTCTTTTCTTTGCCTCAGACTGTTATCAGGGAGTTTATTTCTCTGATTTTGCAAAAAAAAAAATGATTGGTGCTCTGGCCACAATTGAACATCAATAGGCCCCCAAATTAATACATCCAGCCTGGAGGTTTTAGAATCTTCTGACACTGAAAAGAGCAAGGGAGCATATGCCTTGCTTTCCTGGGGGATGTTTGAATACTTGAGTAAACTGTGAAGAAACATTTGAATGTCTGCAAAGAGCAGACGTTATTTTTAAGCATGTGGTTGTTGTGCTGTTGCTGTTTTGTTTTGGTACCACATCCAGTGGTGTTCAGGACTTGCTGCTGACTCTGCTCAGGGATCATTTCTGGTAGACTAGGGGAACCACATGGGATGCTGCATGGTCCAACCTGGGTTAAGCTTGTACAGGGCAAGCTCCTTGTCCACTGAACTACATCCCTTTAACCCCAGCATGTAGATTTAAAAAGAAAAAAAAATTGGTTGTTATCTATTTATTTATTTGCAGTGCTGAGGCTGGGAAACACACTTGAAGTCCCTTATTGCCTTCAATTTCAAAGTTGGTTTGAGAGAGCTTTTACTACTTCGAGTAGTTATCTGTCATTAATTACCATATTCCTTACTGTTTAAAAACATTTTAACATTCAACTGCATTCTCTTGATTTTTTTTTCTAGATGCAAAAGAAATTGTCTTAAAAGCCCAGATCTTAGCTGGAGGAAGAGGAAAAGGAGTCTTCAGCAGTGGTTTGAAAGGAGGAGTTCATTTAACAAAAGAGTGAGTCTGATGTTTGATTGATCTTTGCACCAAGCAGTTCTGAACATCTTAGTGATGACCAAGTGAGGCTGATTGCTCCTGGACTGGGAAAGCTGGGAGGTCCCAAGTCAAGTGCACAAATTCCAGCTAGTGTTCTGGAAGTTCCCCAGTTTACCTTCTGATCCCAGAAAAGATTTTTCTTCACTGATTTGGTGTAAACTTTATGTGCCATACTAGAATAACAGATTTTATGAGATGTAGCATAAAAGTCAACCAATTTCAACTAACGAAAACATTAACACCGAAGACTTAACTTGTAACAATATCTTAGTCACTAGTACAAGAATTTAATGTCTCCATGGTGAGATACAACAATTTACACTAATTTTCTTCTAGGGAAATATATTTTTGATCATTCTGTTATCAATTAGTTGGTAACAAGCAATATAAAATAAATTCCTCTGGGTTTGCTAAGGGTACAGGCTTGACAGACGGTTGGGAAATTAGAGAAAGTGGTGAAGTAAAGGTGACAGTGGTGGTGGGATTGGTGTTGGAATATTGAAGGCCTATAACAAATCACCATGAACAAATGAACAACTTTTGTAAACCATGATCTTTAAATAAAGTGTAGTGGCCTACATATGTAGGTTTTACCTTTTTTTTTTTTTTTTGGTTCACACCCGGCGATGCACAAGGGTTACTCCTGGCTCAAACACTCAGGAATTACTCCTGGCAGTGCTCGGGGGACCATAAGGATGCTGGGAATCAAACCTGGATTGGTCGTGTGCAAGGCAAATGACCTACCTGCTGTACTATCACTTCAGCCCCGGTCTTACATATTTCATGTGAACTCCAAATGATATTTGCAAAGAATGTTTTAAAACTTTCATTAATGACAGGTAAAACATGATTATTGCCATAATGAAGTCAAGTAGCACTGTAGCACTGTCGTCCTATTGTTCATTAATTTGCTCGAGTAGTCATCAGTAATATCTCTATTGTGAGGCTTGTTGTTACTGTTTTTGGCATATTGAATATGACACAGGGAGCTTGTCAGGCTCTTCTGTGCAGGCAGGATACTCTTGGTAGCTTGCTGGGCTCTCTGAGAGGGATGAAGGAATCGAACCCAGGTTGGCCGTGTGCAAGGCAAACGCCGTACCTGCTGTGCTATAGCTCCAGATCAAGTAGCATATAGTACTGTCCTCTCATTGTTCATTGATTTGCTCAAGCAGGCACCAGTAATGTCTCCATTGTGAGACTTGTTACTGTTTTTGGCATATCGAATACACCATGGGGAGCTTGCCAGGCTCTGCCAGATCAAGTATTAAAAAAAATAATGCAATATATTTTAGAATCCAGAGTTGAAAGCTTATGTACGTGATAGTAGGCATTTTATTGTATTGTATTAAATGGTTTTAATTTCCTTATTTACATAGATCAAAATCAGATAGCAATCACAAATTGGCTTTTACTGATTCATTTTCTAATTATTCTGTTCGTCAATTCTTTAAGTTTTGTTGGAGCAGGTATTATAAAGTAAATTTCTTATGTGACTAAAGGGGCAGTTTGGTATTGGCAGGGAAACTGGGGACATTGGTGGAGGGAAGATCATACTGGTGGTGTTGGAACACTAGGTGCCTGAAACAGCTGTATAATGAATAGCTTTGTGGTTTAATAAAGAGAAAAAAAATAAAACTTGACATGCCTATTCTTCCTAGGCAATCAAGGAATCTCCATGTACATGGGAAACAATGCCCCTTTCCAATGAAAGCCTTTCCCACCAGCTCCTCCTTAGAGCCTGAAGCTGACCTGCTCTCCCTCCCTTCTTCCAGTCAGGGCTGCTGAGAAGCTGATTGGTCTGTGTATTCCACTTTACCCTGTTTGCAGTATACACTGTCTCACGTATGTCCTCCAGTACCCCACGCCTCAAAATAGCAGGTGCCTCTGTGCAGAGGTGTCCTTCACACAGAATGTTCCTGAGAAGAAAATAGTCTGTTTCTGGCAGTTCCGTGGTCTGTGTGGGCCCCTGCAGCCTCCACCTGCCTCCCTGGGATTTCTCTGACTACTCCAGAAACCTCTCGCACATGTGAGGCTCCTTGGCATGCCTCACGCGTCCCTGTGAGAAGGTGTTTGGGGGCTAAATGTGACTCCCACATGTCTGTCGGTGATGCCTGTGATGAAACTGTTTCTTGTCCAGGCTTGGGGCTGCTGTGTGCCCTGAGCCCCCAGGATGTGCTCCTCCAGCCTCTCAGGCTCCGGGGCCAGAATAAATGGGCTGGGAGTGAATACCAATGGTTGAAGAGTAGAAGGGTTTTTGTATCTTTATTTAGAAGTTTGGTGTTGTGTTCTGTCTTGCTTCTGCCAATTGACCTATGGGGAAATTGGTGTTGTTAGATGGTTTTGCTTTCAGCAGCAGTTTCCAAGAACCTATTGACTATATTAAGTGAGGATTCTCTGTACTTTCAAAATTTCCTGCCATCAAGACTTTGTTATTCAACTCGGATGTAAATCTGTTATGTATTCCAGAAAAGTCGCCACGGTTCTATAGCTTATAAGAGAATTCTTTCTTTTCTCCCTCCGCTCTTCAAGATTTTTGTCTCCCCTACTGTCCAGACCCTCTCTCTTCCCCCCTAGCCTTTTTATAGTTTACTCCCACTCAGCCTCTGGGAGATTTCTGCACAGGTGCATGAAAAGTCCGTGGCTCGTATGAGGGTGATGGTAGACCCTGCAGCATATGCACATAAAACCAGAATGTGGATTCAGGTTTAAATGATTTATTCGTAGCATAGACATTTATTTATTTCTTTCTCTTCCTCCCTCTCTCTTTTAGTCCCAAAGTGGTGGAAGAGCTGGCTAAACAGATGATTGGGTACAATCTAGCAACCAAACAAACTCCAAAAGAAGGTGTGAAGGTCAACAAGGTAATACTTTGTGTTTTGTTTCATGGATTTTGTAAGGGAAAAAGAAAACAAATTCACATTTCCATTTTGACATAATTGAGTGATGCCTCAGTGCTAGTATCACGAGCATGTAGGATGTGGAGGGATGAAAAAGCAGAACTTTCTAACTCCTATCTCACATGTACATCTTGTATAAGTTAACCAGGACTGGATGTGAGAGTTCTTGTATTCATAAGAATATTCATAAGGATAAGAATCATAAGGATTCATAAAGATTCATAAGATTTATCAGGATGTTCCTTCCTCCTTCCACCCTTATCCCCTTCATGCTTTGTAGCAGAATGGCTAGCTAGGGTTGGTATGTGCCCCTGTCTCTTACCTTGAGATTAGTCCTGGGACTGGAGCATAGTACAGCGGGTAGGGCATTTGCCTTGCTGGCGGCCGACCTGGGTTCAGTCCCCGTCATCCCATACGGTCCCTACAAGCACTGCCAGGAGTACTTCCTGAGTGCAGAGATTGGTCTTTTTGGGGTGTGGTTTCTTTTGCCTAAGTTATTGCCAGGGGTAGTCTTATCAGTGAAGTCTGTTAGGCGTCCAGATGAGTACAGGTTGCACATTTATGCACAGACACGTGGACACACATTGTCCACTCAGAGGGTAGTGCACTGGGGCCTGCATTCTTGTCAGAGTGTAAGTGGCAGCACTCAGGACAGAGCCTCGCTACTTCTGTTTTGGTTTGCTCTGCCCACCTCCTGGATCAAGGCTGCATGTTTGACAGGATTCCATGTCAAACAAGAACACAGTTCCCTCATTCAAGTCATCACCAGGAGAATATTAATGCAGGACCGGGAGCCTCTTAGCCTGGGACCCGTGCACATAGCTGATGGGAAGACCCCATCAGAATTGTGAGTTTGTGCTCCATGTTGTCAGGAGGCATCTCTCAGCATGCTCGGTAGGTAGAGCACCACAGAGTGATGCTCTCCAAAATGTGCCCTGCTTGGAAACGCTGATATGCAGCCCATTGTTGTATTTCTCAGAGGGAGTTGTGTGGAAACATTTTGACACAGCTGAAAGAGAAAAAAAAAGAAAAGAAAACCAGCAGTTTGTTCTTAGCATTCCCTGAGGGATGATCTGTCCTCATTCTGAAGGGACATTGAGCAGGAGGGAGATGGGAGGGCTGGTGGGTCATTAGCTGCTTCATGCCAAGAACAGTAAAGCTTATTAAATGTTGAGGAAGCAGAGAAAACTGGTGATGGCTGTTTCCTTTTCCTGCTGTCTCTCAGGTAAACACAAGAATGGTTTGAAACCGAATTTCTTTTTTTTTTTTTGGTTTGGTTTATTTTTGTTCAGCCCAGTATAGAACTTTTATTTCCCTGTTAAATTTGCTTATGAGCTTTTATCTGTGTAAGTTCTTCAAAATTTGTCCACAGAGGATGTAATTAGTATTTTCATTTGTAGAAATCTGTTGTTGTATATGGAAACATGGGATTTTAGATTAGAGTTTGTGATTGTGATTTTTTTAAAAAAATATGAAAATATACAAAACAGATTCATGCTCTATGGAAATGCATAAAATTAATTTGTAGATAGGTTCCTAAAAGATAAGTGCATTCTTGTAAATTGAGCCATTGCCAGGAAAATACCAGAGAGATTTATTTTTGAGCAATCTTTTTCAGATTTTACAAGTGATTAACATATGTATCTATTACTGGTACAAAAATTTCCAGTAAGAAAGATTATAAAAAATTGAAATATTAAAGTTCTTTGTACTTTCATCACCCAAAATAATTGTCACACATTTTTTCTGTCCCTTTTCTGTGAACACATTAATATAGGCATAGCATTATAGAACTTAAGGAACAGTCTTCCTGGGGAAAAAAATATCAGACACAAATCAGCAATCTATTTATTATGGGGATTTTAAATTTCTAACTTTATTTTAGCAGCTTTTAAATACATGCATACTTGTATACACATGGGCCTTTTTCTTTTCAAAATCTCCATGTTTGTGAGACACTCCTTGAGGTAGTAATTGGGGAGGTAAGAAAATGCTCCTTACCAAGTGCTCCATGATTCAGTTTCTTTAACGATTCCTGCTTCAGAAGAAGACACTTTGAATCTTAACTAATAAAAGTTCTGTTACAAATAATTTGCCCAGTCTTAGTCACTCACAAACAATAATTTAAGTAACATTACACTAGAAAGTAATGCATTCAGTGATCAAATAGACTGAAGAAAGTAGAAAACTTTCTTTTCTGGAAAACAGCACAGAGGATTTATAGATGATACTCTTTGTGTCAGTCACAGATGACACATTTTAAAGATGTGTAACTGAGCTTCTCACAGAAAGATGTTCGTGGAGTTCATTTAGATTCTTATTATAATGGGTCATAAAATATTCTGAGATCCGGGGTCTGGAGCAATAGCACAGCAGATAGGGCATTTGCCTTGCACGCTGCCAACCTGGGTTCGATTCCCAGCATCCATATGGTTCCCTGAGCACCCCCAGGAGTAATTCCTTAGTGCAGAGCCAGGAGTAACACCTGTGCATTGCCGGGTGTGACCCAAAAAGAAAAAAAAATCAAAACATTCTCAGATCCTGGGTCATCACCCTATCTTAAGACTGAGGTTACATTCAGTGTCTGGAATTCTTTCTCAATTATCATCATGTTCTCTGGCATGTTTCCTTTAAGAGTGGTACATTATTTCTACCAAGCAGGAGCTATTTGATGCAGCAGCTGGGCTTTGCAAATAGAAGCTTGATGGAATGCAGAGCACATCTGTCAACATTTCAGAAGATTAAGAATAGGACTCTTGAATGACACTTATCCTAAAAAGTTGTAATGCTGTGTAACTTCTAAGAATAACTACTGAAAGTCATTAAATCTTGTTAACTAGCCTAGCTCTATATTAGAAAGTGGAGTTCAGAATGATTCTGTGAGAATCCTGATACTGTGTACAAAGAGATCTTTCATTCATATTCATGAGACTTTATCATGTTAAAAATCAGTATCTTGTCATAGAAAACATTTTTTAAAGATTGGCTTAACAATGGTTTGAAGAATCTCATATTCATATGTTTTAGGGGTACTATGTTACGATACCACTTACATCACCAAGGTCCCTCTTTGACTACACCCCAAAACACAGGAATTTTCAGCAGTCCCTTCTTCCCACTTTGTAATATCAGTTCTTTTATCAGAGATCTTAACTGGTTTTAATTTCCAGGTAAAGGCTTGAAATGCAGTTATATATTCACTGGATTATACTTTTCTTAGATATGTTTTTTTTCTATTTTATGTGGCTAAAACTTATTAAACTTATCACATACTATTTAACTTAAAATCTTGGTGAAAAGTATTTCTAAATCACTTTTAGGAAAAAGCAGTTTAAGAGTTTTTGTTATTGTAACTTCAAATGCTAACTATAAAACTTCATTTTAAAAAAAGTCATCCAGGAGTAGCTGAAGAGATAGAACAGGGGTTAGACAGCATGTAGACAGTCCTTGCGGACAATCCTGGTTTAATCCCTGGTATATCATATCGTCCCAAGAGCAGCAACAGGGATGATCCCTGAATAGAGAGTCAAGTGTAAGTCCTGAGTGCTGCCAAGTGTGGCTCAAAGCTAAAAAGACAAAACAAAAACAAGCACTAACAACACCCCCTTCCCCCCCAAAAAGAAACACTACGGGATTTTTTTCTTTTTAATTTTAGTTTGGAGTGAAAGTTGGTATGACATTCTCCAAGGCATTTTGGATAGTACTTGTGAGCATCCTAAACATAAGAACTCTAAAACTTTCCTATTTTTAGATCACTTCTAGATTGCTCATCTACAGGAATACAAAAGCAAGTTAGCAACAATATATGTATCAGCATAATCACAGAAGTAGCATCTTAGAAAAATTAAATTCACATAAATGTCAGTTGTTGCATGGCTAAATCAGTACCAACCTGTAAATGGGTCACAGTGAAAGAAGGGGACCTTGTATTGTGATAGCAAAAAGATTCATCTTTTCTTATGTTATTTTTATTAGTGAGACATCATGAGGTACAGTTGGGGCTGGAGTGATAGCACAGCTCAGCGCGTAGGGCATTTGCCTTGATGCGTCCAACCCAAGTTCAATTCCCAGCATCCCATACCCCTGAGCACTGCCAAGAGTAATTCCTGAGTGCAGAGCCAGGAATAACCTCTGTGCATTGCCAGGTGTCTGACTTGGTCAGACTTCTTCATCAAGATCATGAATGATCGGTTTGAGGCTCTTCATGTTCCCAGAGCGAACAGATGCCACTGGGCTACACTAGCACACGACAGGAACAAATGGAGACTGAGGCTCTTCATGTTCCCAGAGCGAACAAATACCATTGGGCTACACTAGCACGCGGCAGGGACAAATGGAGACGTTACTGGTGCCCGCTCGAGCAAATCGACGACTAACGGGAAGTTTAGTGATTAAGTGATTGCCAGGTGTGACCCAAAAAGCAAAAAAATAAGAAAGAAATATGTCTTGAGATCAGAGAGATCGTATAGTGGATAAGGCACTTATGGCTTACCTAGGTGCAATTCCTGGCACCCAGCATGATCTCCCAAACCTGCTGATGTTGGTCCCTGAGCACAGAGCTCTTACTAAGTCCTGAGCATAGTCAGGTGTTACCCCAAAACAAACAAAAAAAAACTTTTAAGCAATCTAATATGGATATAAGATGATTATATTATTGCAGCACTCTCAGATGAATAGAGACCAAAATGACTGTTGTAATTTTTCTGGTGGCCCTCTGCAGGCACTTCCTGAGCCTAACAAAAGGACTGAGTGGAGTCACTAGGTAGGGAATGAAATCCTTCTCTCTCACTTCCCACTTGCTGGATCACAGTACGCACAGTTGGCTGTGTCCTCCGGAAGGAAGGGGCGATCATTGCCTCAGCATCAATAACTCCATCTGGATTTAGGGCTATCCTGACTACTGAAGCCCCAGGATGTGTCTCTGCACCAGGTTTTTGCCTTCACTGATTGTGTTCTTTTGAGATTGTTTGCATTCTGTTCAAAGAAGCAAATAGATGTCTGTCATTTAAAAGGATGGATTGAAATAAAAGTACAGTGATCCAAGAACCAGAAATGTGCAAACACATGAAGCATCAGACGTACTGTAAAAAGAAGAAAACTTCTTTGGCAATCAGACTTGGGTTTTTCTGCATGTGCAATCTGAGAGAAATCAGTGAAGTAATATATATGTACTGTCAGTGTCTCAGAATAACAGCTGCTTCCCTGGGGTTTTTCTTAAGTGCCAGGGTTTCTCAAGGAGGGGAAAAAAAAGATAAAGTGGTTAGGTTCCTTGAGGCAAACCTAATACCTGTCACTTGATGAAGTTAACAGAATCAATTAAGGAGGTGAACACCGGCATTGTGCACCATGAGAGCAGTTCTCTTGACCGTGTTGGAAGTGAACTCACTGGTTCTAAAGAACTTGAAAATGAAGCTGTTTGATTTGTGTAGCCAGTTTGTATAGATTTCCAAGCAGAAATCAGTTCGATGCTGAATTAATTTAACTTTCTCATTAATGTGGTAGGTGATGGTTGCTGAGGCCTTGGATATTTCCAGAGAAACCTACCTGGCAATTCTCATGGACCGATCCTGCAATGGTCCTGTACTGGTGGGAAGCCCTCAGGGGGGTGTCGACATTGAAGAAGTGGCAGCTTCAAATCCAGAACTTATTTTTAAGGTATGTTTAGATGCATGGATGTACTTTGTGCATTGCTTGTTGCAGCAGCTGTTCGAGGTTTAATATGGAATCAGAGACTGCTTAGCAATAAATCTGTTTGGAGAATTTAAGGCAAGAAGATACTTGGTCCTTTTTCTTCCTGGCATGTAGGTAAAAGTAAGATAGAATCAAGGTACTATTCAAGATCTTTTCTTTGCTTTTTCTCTCCTTTCCATCTTCTCTTTCTTCAGCCTTTTGTTCTTCTTTGTTCCTTTCTATCCAAACTACCATAAGAATTAATCAGGGGCTGGAGTGATAGCACGGGGGTGGCGGGGGGGGCATTGGCCTTGCATGCAGCCGACCCAGGATCAATCTCCGGCATCCCATATGGTCACTTGACCACCACCAGGAGTGATTTCTAATTTTTCTCGATTAATTGTGCCCCATTTACATGAGCCAAAAAATTCCTCCTGTGTATCTAGAAATGGACCAAATGTGCCTTGATGTCTCATAGTACTACTAAGGGAGAGTTCTCTAATTTCAAAATTCTATTTTTTTTTTATTTTAGTCCTATAGATCATGTCCCTTTTACTGATGTTAAGTTTAGTTTCTGGCCAGAAATATTTGAAGTCAGCAAGTTGCTCATTGTCACTAAATTTCATTTTTTGAAGCTGTAGAAAGAAAGTGGAAGTAATTTCTACCTCTAGAGTTGTCAGGATTAAGTGAGGTAATGTGTATATAAAGTGCTTCTCAGCCTAACTCAGCTAAAAGAAGAAAATCCAAAGTCTTCAGAAGTGCAATTCCAGTTTTCAATTCTGTGTTCTTTTTGTCAAAAAAAAGTCACATTAAAATTTCCTAGCAGAAACTCTCATTATGTATGTTAGAACACACTTTTGTTTTCCTTCAAATACTTTTGGAATCTTTTTCTTTGGATAAGGGACAAATCTTTTGCGATTGGTTTTTAAATACTTTGACCAGTGTTATATATTAAACTGCTTTGGAAGTCAAATTGAGACTCTATGTGTAGTTTACCATGAACACCTAACCAGTTTAAAAATTAATTTTTTAATGTAAGCCATTGTTTTTGTAAATAGTATTCATGTAATAATGTATATGCTGTGTGGCTCAGTAGCTGGGAGAGAATTTGTCACTTTGTATAAAGAACTAGTTATTGTTAATAATCATCATCATCAATAGAATGCTTTAAACATCAGGTAATATTTAACCTAAGTATGGCAAGCTCTAAACTTAACAGCAATATTAGACAGGAGAACCTTACTTTGGAAGCCTTCCAAAAGATGTCATAAAAATTAACCGACTAAATATTCGTCAGTGCCATCTGTATGGTAATTAAAAGTGAAAACTGGCATCTGATTGTCTTGTCAGCATGCCACCCTGAAGAATTATATAGTTTTTGGAAAGGCTGCTTTATAGATGGTCTGCTAATTAAAACATACCCTATAGGCAGCTGCAATAGCCCAACTTAGTGATCTTTGGAAAGGTGCCACACTTTAATTACTTATTTGCAAATAGATGCTAGGCATTTTCTTTCAGGTTGTAAATCTTCTTGCTTGACCGTCACTCTAAATTTTGTTTATTTGATTCATATTTCCTAGGAGCAAATTGACATTATTGAAGGGATAAAGGACAGCCAAGCTCAACGTATGGCAGAGAATCTAGGCTTCCTTGGACCTTTGAAAAGCCAGGTATATGAACAATTGGAGGGCACTACGCCTGAATGGTTTCAAAAAACGTTTGGGAACTTGTTTAATTGCCTCTAATTTTTGTGATTACCCAGAAGCAGAAATGTTTTTTTTTGTAATTTATCTCAGATTGTTAATGGAAAATTCTGTTGTATTCAAAAATGTAATAATAATAATAATAAGGCCCTCCCGTTGTTCATCGATTTGCTCGAGCGGGCCCAGTAACGTCTCCATTGGAGATTTTGTTGTTACTGTGTTTGGCATATCGAATACGTCACAGGGAGCTTGCCAGGCTCTGCCGTGTGGGCGAGATACTCTCGGTAGCTTGCCGGGCTCTCGGAGACGGGCAGAGGAATCGAACTCGGGTCGGCCATGTTGGCTGCGTGCAAGGCAAACGCCCTACCACTGTGCAATGTGTATGTCATTTATAGATATATAGTTATGTATATGCATGTGTGGATATACATTATTTACAAGCACATGTATTTTGTGTAATAATCTGCATAATTTTTCTTTTGGTGTGCAACTTGACTCCATAAATTATAGGAGGAACATAATGTTTAGAGGTAATGCCATAGAGTCAGGCAGTTCTGATTTCGAATCCTATCTTGCCATTCATTATCTGTTGAATGGGCATGGTGAAATATTGACTTAAAGGAATTGTGAGGTTTGAGTATACTGGTGTCAGAAAGAACTTATTCATGTTTTTCAGAAAGGTCACATATTATTTCTAGTAATGCACATGCTTATCTAATTGCCAGTTTTAATAGTGACTGAGCATTTTATGTGAATATTCGTGGAAAGGTGATTTTTATTGAAAACAGCTTAAAATTTTCCAATTAAATGATTATAGCCATTGGCTTCCCAAACAAAAAGTTGTCCTCCAAGTTGTTGTAGGGGACAGGAGGTCTCAAACATTATAGTCCTACACTGCCCCTGGTCCAGCCTGTGTAACATGATTTATATGTTTACATAGCAAGTTTCTCTATCTCATTGCTAATTGGAATTTCTTGGTTCTTTTTCCCTCGTCTATTACTGAGAGTAACTGTCTTAATATCCCCTAGATTCTGTGTGTGCATAATTATGCATATGTATATATTTACGTTTTTGCGTGTGTGTATATTCCCTAGGGGTATTTGTCTTTCTGTGTGTTTATATGTCTGTGTGTTTGTGTGTTCCTTAAGGGTATTTGTGTTTCTCTGTGTATGCATATGTGTGTGTGTATGTTTTCCCTAGGGGTATTTGTGTTTCTGTGTGTGTGCATATATGTGGGTGTGTTTTCCCTAGGGGTATTTCTGTTTCTGTGTGTTTGTGTATGTTCCCATAGGGCTCTAGGGGAGTACATAGTATTTCATTTATTTGGACTTCACTTCTTTCTTTATAAAACAATTGCTTTTGTACACATTATTTTCTTGCTTTTTTTCTGTGAACTGAATTCTAGAAGTCTAAGGCAAGTGATAGAAGTACAAAACAATAAAACTTTAAAATTATGTATTTGCATATATAATTAAGAGGAGACTGTAGTTAATTTGGAGATGGAAGAAGAGACTCAGAAAGCCAATGATTCAACCTTATAAGAGGGCACTGAATTTTGTGGAACAAAACCTCACTAGGGAATTGAAGGAGCCAAGATTCAGTGGACAGTTAGAAGAATGAATTATCATCTCTGACACAGGCACATTGATGTTGAAACAAAGAAACTGCATGATTTCTGGGTAGGGCTGCATTTGCCAATTGAATCAAATGAGTCTGAACGGACTAGGCCATGTGCAAGGCAAGTGCCTTCCCTGCTTGTACTGTTTTTATGCCCCCTTCATTATTGTTTTTTTCCGTCATTTAGGGCCACTTTTACTGTATCCTAATTTTCACATAGGAGTAATTTTGTCCATCTTTTTACCTGTAGTGTTGCAATAAAAACCGCATGGCGCATATCTTGGATGTCCAACAAAAAATCTGGCATGAATATTGAAACAACTCATTTCAAGTGTTTATTTTAAAGAGATTCCTAGAGAATTAGCAGTAGGTATTTCTTAATTGGTAAGATAATAAATATGAAGCAAAGTATGCCTAGCATAGGGTTTGAAAGATCAGGAGATGCACATAGTTTTAGAGAAAGCAGCAATAGTATAGATTTAAATACAACCTCCTTGCCATTAGAGAAATTACTAGGTACTTACCACTCTTAAATGGCTTGTTTTCTTTTTATTCCTACACCTTCTTAAGTTTTAAAGGAGTTACCTTGGAAGGATGATAACCATGAAAGTTTCAAAGGTCATTTGCAGGTGTTTTGAAATTGCATTCTTAACTGAATGCATTGAAAAGGGAAGTAGATGTTTTCATGTCTTTCTTTATTTCCCCATTGCAATTGGGTGACAGAATACATCTTCATTTGCTCAGTAAAGTTAGAGGAAGCTTTGGCTAGGGTCTTTTCACTCTGCCTGACCCTGGGGAATAGGGATGATGTTAAGTTGCTGCTGTTCTCAGGCTTCCCAGAATAGCATCAAGCCCTGTTGTAATTGAGTGTGGGAAGGAAGATCATGAAGGAAGGAATGGGCAGTCTCGTGTTAGGGTATGCATGAACATCGGTAATATTTGGACAGGAGTAGAATATATAGCACAGGAAGTACTTAGATAAGTTTCTGCTTTACTGTGCCTTTACAGTTCATGGGGATTAGTGGAATGTTCCAGAAAACCAGCGTTCAGTGGGCAGAGGAAGAGTCAGGGATAAGAAAATATTTTATGATCATCAGTTGATGATCCATTGAGAAAGACATGGTAACTGGGGTGGAAGAGATAGGACAAAGGTTAAGGGGCTTGCCTTGCATGCAGCCAATGCAGATAAGATAAGCATAGACTCTCTGACCCTATATGGTTTCCTGAGGTCCACCAGGAGTGATTCCTGAGCATTTCGAGGTATGTCTCCTCTTAATAAATAAAAGGAGAGAGACAGACAGACAGGCAGACAGAGAAGTGGAAGAAAATAGGAAAGGAGCGGTGAGGGGAAGAAAGTGGAGGAAGCTTAGAAGTTCTTAGATTTTGTAACGTTGGAAGTTAATGTTTACCCTGATAAAGTTCAGATGTTTGTAGGCACCACTCATGCATAGCAGCATAAAGACATAATTATCTGCTTAAATTATCAATGCCTTTCCTGTGACTCACGTCTGTGCTCTCTCTGAAATGTGATGTATAGTAATAGACTTAATTTGAAATAAATTCCACCTCACATAAAGACTACCAAGCATATGTTTCTAATGAAAATCCATTTCACCAAGAATGTTTTGTTGGAATGATTAAAGACAGTGTTAAAAATAAAATGACAAAAATTTCACAGGTTCCTAAAGTACTTTATTTTGTCTCTATTCTCTTAAATTTTGAAAACATAGATGCCCTGAATTATTGACATGTACCACTATAATCTGTGTCAATGAATAGATTCAGCAGACAAGGAAATACAAGTTTATCACCTCATCTGGAAGTAGTCTATATCCTTGGCTAGATTTAAGAATCATATGTAAATGTTTATATTCTTAAATTTAGAAAAATTAAATGTTAAGACACTTAAAGCCAGAAAGGGTGTATACCAGGTAAGGCACTTCTCTTAGATATGGATGACCCAGGCTCAATCTCCAGTACCTTTTACGGTCTCCCGAACCCTGTCAGTAGTGATGCCTGAGAACAGAGCCAGGAGTAATCTCTGAGTATCACTGGGTATGGCCCACAAACCAGAAAACAAAGAAAACATTTTGAAGACACTTGGAAGTTTATGAGTTGTACAAATAGAGGCTAATGATAGCTTTATTTAGGGCCTTGGATTTCATTTACATTCCCTAAATATCAAATTTAAAATAGCATTAATTCGTGTTAAAAGGAAAGAAAAAAATTTCTATACAATGTTTATGAGCTAAGGAAATAAGTAGCTATACTAAAGTAAGTTATCAAGTACAATGACTTTTACTTCATGTTTAATTTATTAAGGATTTAGTGCCTGGCTAGTTCAGTTGATAGAACATGAGACTCCTAAAACTTGGGCACATTTAGAAATCTGACCTCAATGTCCTATAGACATTACCGGTTCTTGTTAGTATATATAGTCAGACAAAAACATTTTGCATGTCAAGCCTTTATAATCAATCAGTGTATAGCCTCATATTTTCAGCTCATATATTTAGCCTCATGCATTCTTCAAGCAAGGATGGTTATGCCATGTACATCTAACAGCACAGTTATTATGCTTCACCCCAACTCAAAAATTACTTATAACCTATAGATGTAGCTCAGCAATAAAGTACTCGCCTTAAAATATGTGAAACCCTTTTGTTCTCTCTCTTTTTTTTGGTGCTGTGGTTTACAAAACAGGCATTGAGTGGCAATCATGTTTGGTCTATAGTCTACTTTCAGCATGCATCTCCCATCCTGGGAGGATCCTCCCAACACCCCAAGCATAAAAATTTGTAAGTCTACAACTGTACCTCATGGTGTTTCACTAATAAAAATTAAAAAATATATATGTGAAACCCGGGATTGATATGTGTATATACATATATACAGCTTATGCATATATCCTGTATATTTCATCTTTGTATTATAGAAAAATTCACTGTCACTGTCCTCCCATTGTTCATAGATTTTCTCGAGCTGGCCCAGTAGCATTGTGAGACTTGTTACTGTATTTGGCATATTGAATACATCACAGGTAGCTTGCCATGCTTTGCCGTGCAGGCAAGATACTCTCAGTAGCTTGCCTGGCTCTCCAAGGGGGACGGAGGAATCTAACTCCGGTTGGCCATGTCAACTGCATGCAAGGCAAATGCCCTACCTGCTGTGCTATTGCTCCAGCCAGAAAAATTATTATCATAAATATCCTTCAATACTTTTTAAATAAATTCTATCATACCGCCTTATCCATAGGGGTTTGTGCCAAGACTTCCAATAGATGTGAATAATGCCAAGAGTTATCTGTACCATCTCTTTTTTCTGTGTATAATGTTAAATTTATAAATTATCCACAGTAATATATTGACAACTTTTAACTTGTAATAAAATAATACAATGCTAGCAGTGTTCCATAATGGAAGCTGTGTCAACATGGTTTTTCTGTCTCAAAATATTTTTCCGTAGGTAATGTTTTTGAACACAATTGAATACAAATAACTAAAACTGTGAAAAGCAAAAACATGGATAAATATTAACTTATGTAATTACGAAGTTGACATGAAGAAATTTCATAATAATGTAGGTTAATGGTTAAGAAGTATTTTGGCAGCCAGAGATATAGTAAGCAAATAGGGGCCTTGCCTTGCACATAGCTAACCCACACTTGATCCCTGTCACCCCCTGTGGCCCTCAGTCTCTACTAGGAGTGATCTCCGAGTGGAAGTGCCAGGAGTAAGTCATGAACACCAATGGATGTGGCCTGCAAAATAAAAGAAATCAAGATGCACATGTTAAAAAGATTTGTGAAATGTACCTACTGTGAAAGGTTGTTCTGCTTCAGAAAAGGAAGGGGATTCTGAAATGCAGCAGCATGGATGAACCTTAAGAGCATTGTGCTCAGTGAAGTTTAGCCATCCTTTTAGATGATATATCCAGATTAGTCAGATTCATAATTACAGAAGTAGAAAGGTGGTTATGAGGGATCAGTGGAGGGAGGAAATTGTGAGCTGTTTGATGCTTATAGACATTTCAGTTTTGTTGGATAAAAAGGGTTGGAACTTGATTGCACAAGAATTGAACATGAATGGAACTGAAGAGTATACTTGAAAATGGTTGAATGAATGTTATAATACAAGTATAAAAGAAGAAAGGAAAATTTTAAAGTAGCTGGGTACCAACCATCTTTGATATATATATATATATATATACATGTATATATATACACACATACATATAGATGCACACATATATACACACATCTTGTCTTTGGTTATTTTATGCATTTTCTATTATGCAACATAATAACATTGCTATTATTTATTAATCATTAGTTAGCCATTATCTATTGACTGTATAGCTTGTGCAGAGGCTGCATAAATATTGTGGAAACCCCTGATGTCAGGAGAGAGAGTGGGCCTCATTCAGCTCAATTGCAAGTCTATATTAATCATCCAGAAATACCCCCGAAGTGAAAAAAAGGATTCAATAGTTATTTCAACTCTAATTGAAAAAAATCCATTTCTATAGAAAAGTAAATGTTAATGAAGAAAAGTTGTAAATTATACTTGAAGAGAGTTGTTTTAGCACTCAGAATGTGACTCGCCTTTTTAAGGTCTGACACAAAGCCAGAAGAAGTCATATAAGAGACAAAGGTTACTGCTATCAAATTTGAATGTGGTCAAAGTAACAAAAACACAGGTTAAAGATAAATGTTGAAGGGGAAAGGTATTAAAAATGTATGTAATAAAGAATTTTTTCATAAAAAAATCTTTTTATAATTAATAGAAGAAAAATACAGTTGGAGAGATGGTCAAATTTCACAGAAAAGCAGTTTGAATATTTCTTAATGCTCAAGTTCATTCATAATAAGGGTGATTCAAATTAAAGCAGTGCATTTGATATACATTTTATGTGGCAAAGGTCTAGCTAACTTGTGGTTGTGAGTATAGGTACTTTTATTACTGATTGGTTTATGGAGAGAAACTTAGGGTATATATTCTAAGAGCAATTGAATGGAATTTTTTATGATTTTAAATGTTCAAATCTGTGTTTTGCTCCATACTAGGGCATTTATCCTCTAGTTTTATAATCACCCATGTGGTACGTTTGTGTATGTGTGTGTGTGTGTGTGTGTGTGTGTGTATGCTTGTATGCTTACATGTATACTTTTATATCTATCTGTGTGTCTAGAGACTGCATTTTAATTAATATCAGCTATCAGAAATCATATGACCATTATTTAAGAGACAGATTAAAAAATGCAGCTATACAGTAAGATTATGCAGCCATTTATAAGAAAGGAATAAAGAATGTGAGTCATTGGTCGAGTTCTTGTTTTTCCTTGATTGAGGCCCTGAGTTTTTCCTTGATTGAGACCCTGACTCTGCCTTGCATCTCCAAGTGTGATACAGAGCACTGTCACCAGAAATGAGACTTTGTCCCCCAAAATTGCAGCAGAAGCCAAATGCAAAAGAGAAACAAAATGAGTATATCACTATGCTCTTGAAAATGTCTCAAATCTATTAAAGAAATAAGATAGAGAACTAAGTTTAATTTCAAGTTTATGAACAATGCAAGACGGCTATACATTTCATATCACATGAAAGATTGCATAGCATAGACTATCTCTTACTGAAGTACCAATCAGTAATTTGGCTGTGTAGAATAAGAAGCTGGGAAGATATACAATGTCTATCAAAATTCAGAGGAGACCTTTATGTAACTGGGGAGCTTTGTGTCCTGTATGTGTAGTATCTCTCCCTGAAAAAGTAATATCAAAAATCTGTCATTGTCCTCCCGTTCATCGATTTGCTCGAGCAGGCCCAGAAACATCTCCATTGGAGACTTTGTTGTTACTGTGTTTGGCATATCGAATACATCACGAGTAGCTTGCCAAGCTCTGCCGTGAGGGTGAGATACTCTCGGTAGCTTGCCAGGATCTCCGAGAGGGGCGGAGGAATCGAACTCGGGTCAGCCATGTCGACTGCGTGCAAGGCAAATGCCCTACCCACTGTGCTATTGCTCCAGCCCAATATCAATATCAAAAACAGTCTTAATAAATGTGTATGTTTATTTATGTCCACTGAATTTAAAATTAGGATGTAGGGAGTTTTTGATTGTACATAAATTAAGATAACATGAATTATATCACCAGCAGTTCCTCAGACAATGCTGGGAAATAAGAAGACACTCTCAGTATTTACAACAACAGGAATTTTTTCTAGAGAACTAGTTCCACATACGCAGCAAGATCTGAGAAAGAGAATGTAGATCTAAACAGCAGCAGGAGATTGTAGCTACCTGCATGTTCCAGGAGCAGAGAGCCTGTGATCTCACTGAACCTGGGATTCAGAAGCCAAAATGCAGGCAGACCACTTGGGAATGGAAGACAGCGCTGGAGGAAGATCCAGAGGCAGACAGAAAGGAATCCAAGTAGCCCCTATTTCTCCTCCACCTCCTGTAGAACTCTATGACTTTTTTATCGACTGGAGTTGGTAGCCGGCTACTCCAGGTACTCTGGAAAGTCATCCTTCAACTGCCAGCTTCTGATAACAGAAATGAGAAAACAATAGAAATGGATCTGAAGCTAAATAATTTTAGGTCTGGGATAGAGCGAGAAAAAAATGTAGAGCCAGGAACTAAGATAGAGGAAAGAATAACAATTGCTTCCAACCATCCAGCCATGATCGGAGTCTTGCTGTGTTGTCTTCCAGACCTCCTTCTCAGCGGGTTTGGATGTTTTGGTGGGTGGCAGACGGCATCTATTACTTCTTCCCCTAACAGTGCTAGTGTGCTATCATACAGGTAATGAGGCCAACTTGCTTGAGAAGAAAGAATGAATTCCAAGCAGAATGATTAAAGTGAATTCCGGGTATATAAGCAAAAAACCTGGGATATTCTTATTCTTGTTCTTTGTTCCTTAGGCATAAACTGCTTTCATTTTAAACCATGCTTTTCAGTAACTGTGTTATTTAAGACTTTTGTCTTGCAACAATTTCCATTAGATGATCAGTAATTGCTGTCTCACAGATTATAGGTTTGGGTTGATGAATATAAACAAGTGTTTTATTTAAGCTTAATAAGGAAAAATGCAGACATTGTGAACCCTCAAAATCATGTTTACCTTTTACTTAAATGGAATTTCTTTGTTTTAATGATTTTAGTTTGCACTGCAGTATGGCATGACTAATAGGGATAAAATAATGAAAAAAAGATTAACAGTGTTTTTAGTTCTTACTGAAGATGTTTTTTCTTGATAATGGTCTTTCTTGCATTTTGTGGTAAGTTGAGCAATATCTATTAATGTCTTTTTTTTACAAAACATTACTGAAAATAAAGCTAACATTTTTTAGTTTTGTTTTATTTGGGGGCCATAACTGGCAGTGCTCATGTCTTATTCCTGGCTCTGTGCTCAGGGATCACTCCTGGTGGTACTTTAGGGACCATACGTGGTGTTGAGAATTGAACCTGGGTCAGCCTCATGAGAGGCAAATACCCTACCTGCTGTACTATCTTTCAGATCCAGAGGTGCCACTTATGATTTTAAAGACTTTATTGATTCAAAAAAAGAAATGCTCTTTGACTGACAATTTCATTTCGCTTGGTTACATTAGGCTGCAGATCAAATCAAGAAGTTATATAATCTCTTCCTGAAAATTGATGCTACTCAGGTGGAAGTGAATCCCTTTGGTGAGACCCCAGAAGGACAAGGTAAAAAAAAATAGAGAAAACAAATGAATATAATTGTCATTTAAACCACACGTTAAATTGAACTAAAAGATTTTAGCGGCAGTTTTGCATTTTTTGTAATTTAATTTTTGCCATGATTTCACATACTTTCATGGTCTAGTTTAACGTTTTAGCACTTGAATTTGTAGCCAAACACTAGAGCATTAGTGAAAGCTCGTTGTTGATTTATTTAGAGATACCCTTTCATAGTCATCCTCTAATTCTCAGGCCTGTTGCTGCCACAGTGGTAAAGATTTGGATGGAAATAGACAACTTACATGGGTGTAATAGTGTACTTGCTTTTATGGAACATGAATATCGGAAAGCTACTTTTTGTTTGCTTTGTGTAAGTGGTCAGATTAGGCTGTTATTATGGTTAAATCCTTATTATCCCACTATCATACTCTTTCTCCTTAGTCAGTACTTCTACTGCGGGTGTAATAAGGAACTATTTCTTTGGGGAAAGAATTTCCTATCCAACAGGTACTTACATAATATAATGAGTTTTTATATTTTAACATAGTTCACTATTGCACTGTATCTTACAAACATTGGCAGGAGTTCAGTGTTCTTCCTAATAAGTTATTCAAAACTATATGAATATTTGTGTGTCTTTGGAATTGGACATAGAATAGCAGATCAACACAAAGAGTTTTATAGATTGTACTGTAGATTCCACGAACTTTGTCAGTTTTAGCTGATTTAACTCCCAAACTCTTGCATGATCTCAGGTATGTTGTATGTGGTAAGTAAAGAGGAATTTTTTGTTTTATAGACAAAATATACCTAAGTGGTAAGTCAACGTGGAGATTATAGTGCTTCTCCTGAGCATAGTTCAGAGACATTTTAGTGTATAACTCAGACTCAGAAAAGAAATAAATATTACATCCTTGGACCCCAGGAAGGCCTGGCTTCAAGTTCTGAATCTTCTATTTTCCAGTAATAGTCTTGGCAAGCCAGTAGACTTTTAATCTAAAAGAATAGTAGAAGATGATAGTTACCTGTTTTCACAATAATATGATTCTGTGTGTGTGTGCTTGTGTGTGTGTATGTGTGTGTAAGATAGAACATGTGCTTGTGCCAGGAATTATCAATGTTGGTCATCAAGTGTGAGAGGTAGTAAGGGGGTGGGAGTGTGCCTTGTATGCATGCAGAGACGTGAATTCAATCCCCAGCATCCCATGGCCTCCCAAAAAATTCTAGGGTGGCCAAGGTGATCTGTGGTATTACAGAACCCTAGTAGCACTGCATTCTCTGACTCAAACACTGAACTACAAGTGTAGCTGACTTCCTACAGCCAAGAATAGCACCCAGATCTTCTGAACACTGTTGAGGAGACAGATGGCAGAGGTTCAGAAAAGATGCAAATTTCATAAAGCCATTGAAAATAATAAATCTCATGCCTTATATAAGGAACCATCAGATTAAAATCTGTTAGGTCATTTGTAAGCAGATTATCTTTATTCATAAATATGTTTAAAATTATTAAAATTCATAAGAATGTTTCAATTTCTATTTAACTAGATACTTTCTATTTAACTTTAGTATTTCATTAGGAAAGGAAGGGGAAAGCAAGTATTTTATCACTGGTATTTCAAGGAATTTGATAAAGTTTCATTCTTTTCTGGGGCCCAGGCAATTTTCACAGAACTCAAGGATACTTGGACTAGCTGGTTTAATACTGGGCAGAGGATGCAATGATGCTCATATTCTGCAGTGCCTGATACCACCAAGGTTCTCTAAGCAGTGCCAGGCACTTTCTTCTCTATTCCTGTGGATTCATGCAGTGCTGGGGGTTGAGTCAGGGTCCCATACAGGCAAAACTGCATCGCTGACCCCTTAGCTATCTTCCTGGTTCCTGTTTGTATCATTTCTTACTGTTTATCACAACCCTCTAAAATTAGCAACTCTCATCCTCTCTTTATAAGAACTGGAAAAAAGAATGGGACCCAGAGTGGGGAAGCAATTTGCCAGAGCTGGGACTTATTCCTCTTTGAACTCCTCCTCTATGAATCAGTACCATGCTGATTCTAGTGTATGAGGATGACTTTCTTTTCAGCTGACTACTTTTCAACTGTGTCCTTGTTAGACTGTTAATTTGCCTCCATCAGAGTGATCTGAAAGCGGCCTCCTGTATTAGAATATCAATCAAAATTCTTGTTTTAGTGAGTGACTGATAATTAAATCTATGAAATGAAAGAGAAAGTTCAATATAAGTTCTTAAAGGTCATATATTGCTTTTCAAACTAGTCTGTACAAGCAACATTGTTATTTCATATTAGAAATATTGAAAATTCAACCATGGCTTTGAATAAAACTCAGATGGTGCTGCTCTTTTCATTCAGTCCTTTGGTAAGTTATCAGTCAGATTGAGCTTTGGCTGCAGGTATCAGGGATTTGAGAAACTTCTGGATAGTGTGTATAAAGCCTCAAGAAAAGAAAATTCTTTTCTTAGTTATTAAATGAAAAAAATTCTTGAGCTTTTGGGAAGGAATCATCATAAAATATATTCCATGTGTACAGTTCATTAAAAACCATGTCTTATGTGATATTTTAGGAGTAAATTATCTTTGGCTATTAATTTGTTCATTATACCAAAAACATTGAGCTATTAAATTATAGTCACAATTAAAAGAGTGTTTGGTTTATAACTCTAATGAGCAGTAGTCAAATTAAACCCAATTATGAATTGATAATTAATGGGCCAAATATACAGATGTACAGATTGATCTTCATCATTGTCACAATACCCTAAAGCAACCCTTTATTTAGACCCTGGAAAAACAGTCATTTACATTAGCTATACCGATAATCTGAATATTTATAAGCTGAACATTTTAATTCTTTCTATTTATATCAGTCATTGGATAACATATATCCTTTCACTGTAAAACTTTAATAAATTATTGTTCTGATTTGGAATTTAAAAATTTCTAAGTATTATGCCAAGCATGTTTATTTTATTCATCAAAGATCCTCTCAGAAAGAAAATTTCTGGAGTACTTAATGGCTTGATTAGGAACATTTTTTTTATACCTTGGTGATTTGTCATCTGCTTGCATAATAGATAATAACCTAGTTGAATGAAGAGCAATGGCCTTGATAGCCTCAGTGTTGCTAGGTCACCCGTGGAGAAATTTTGGCCTATATAAAAAATTGCAATTCAAGAACCAATTTTTTTTCACACTTGATCACTGGACATCCCATTACTTATCAATTTGCTTGAGTGGGTGCCAGTAACATCTCCATTCATCCCTGTTGCATGCAAGTGTAGCCCAGTGGCATCTGCTCGTTCTAGGAACATGAAGAGCCTCAAACCGATCGTTCACTATCTTGACAAAGAAGTCAGACCATCTCCAAGATGGGCGGCCACACAATCTTTTGACGTCCCATGGAATCCAATCAATGATGACTCTAGTCCAGCGGTCGTCTCCAAATCTCATTACATGTTCAGCCCATCTGAGTTTCAATGCCTTGGCAAATGAGACAGCATCCCTGATTCTTGACCGTCAATGGAGGTCGGAACTCCGAATTCTTTCTCTCATTTGAGTGAAGCATGATACTACAAGCATAGCTCTTTCGATTCCCTTTTGGGAGACCCGAACAGTGTTCTCATCCTGTTTTCGTAGGGCCCAGGGCTCTGAGGCGTGTATGTTAATGCAGGAAAAACAGTGGAATCGAAGAGATGTGCCTGGGGCCGGAGGTTCTTCATCGTCTTAACTATTTTTTTTGATGCTCTTGAAGATGTACGTTCCAAGACACTCTTCCTCCTGTGCAACTCAGGTGCCAGGTCATTCATCATATTGACTTCTTGACCTAGGTACACATAACTGTTGCATTCGGAGATGTTCATTTCATTGAGAGCAAATGGAGCATCAGGAACCAGACGGTTTCTCATAAATATTGTCTTTGTGAGATTCAGCTATAGTCTGATCTTTCCACACTCACGGTCGAAGTCGGCCAGCATTTGTGCCACTTGGCTAAAGTTTGGTGTTACTTAAACGATGTCATCAGCAAAGCGGAAGTGGTGAAGCTGGCGACCATCTATCTTCACTCCCATTCCTTCCCATTCCAGTCACCGCATGACGTTCTCTGCCTGTTGTCTGTCGTCTACAAGCTTTTCACTCGAGTCATCCTGAATAGGATTGGCAGCATCAAGTGGTATCCAGGGCTTACCTTTGGCTCTGTACTCAGGAAATACTCCTGGTAAAGTTTAGGGGACCATATGGGGTGTCAGACATTGAACTCCCATCTTGGCTGCATGAAAGTTGGTTGCGCTACCCACTCTACTACCTTTCCAGCTCCTAAAAATATTTTTAAAAAGCCTTTGCTTAAACTTCTCCATTAATTGGAATCCAAATTCATTAATTGATCTAAAAGAATGAGAGAGACCTCATTTACAACTTGGGCAATGTTCTGGAAAAAAAATAAAACCTTTGGCAATGTGACTGAGAATCGGTGAGAATCAAAGACCCCTGGGTGATCCTAAGCGAACAGGCGCATCAAATTCTCTTCTTCCGATTAATTTCCCTAAATAACCACCCTGTTGCTTCACACTAGCAAGTGCCCATGTTGTTAGTGGGCGTTTCTCTGTTTCTCTCTTTTTATACACAAGAATCTATTTTCAAGAACCTTTTCAGTTCTCTGCCTCTCCATTGAGCCCCCGCTCCCATCCTCCCATCTATTTTCTCTTTTCACAGCAACTAAAGTTCTCAAAAGTATGCAACTCTTGAAACATCAATATTTAATGGAAAGTGGGACTAATTTGAAAGTATCAGCATTTTAAGGCCATCTTGGCAAAGCACATTTCAAAAGCACATTATGCTTATTTATCACAAATCAAATGTAGTAAGTTGCTTGAAGACAGATTATTTTTCAAACTAATTATGACAACCTTATTTCATGCTGTTTCTGTTTCTTTTATGTGCGAATCTCCCTTCTGAAATGTATTTTTATCTTGTTTAGTTCTGTGGCATATTCTT